AAACGCAAAATCGTAGCGTGCTTTTCGCGGTTAGAAGCTAATTTACATATTCTTTTTAGAAATTCAGCACGTTCTGATTTAGTGTCTCCGTGTGGCGCGGCGCCCGCATCCGAGCGTAACGTGGTGCCCCGCTATGGCGCCGTGTGAATTTTGAACATCGAAAGTGAACCCTCTGCGGACTTTTGCCTTGAACATCGAAAGTGAACCCTCTGCGGACTTTTGGCGGGTTGGGTTGCTCTTGTTGTGGCGCGGTGCGCATTTTGAAGATTGTAAGCGAACCCTCTGCGGACTTTTGCCGGGTTGGGTTGCTCTCGTTGTGGCGCGGTGCGCATTTTGAACATCGAAAGTGAACCCTCTGCGGACTTTTGGCGGGTTGGGTCGCTCTCGCTGCGGCGCGCTGCGCCTTTTGGGTATGGAAGGTGGGCCCTCTACGGATGTTGGGTTGGGCGGATGTGTGTGGCGCGGTGAATTGAGAGCGCCATCTGCAGATTTGCGGCTCGGACTACTATGTGGAATACACATACTGAACGAGTGTTAAACAAAAACAGGCCATGATTGTTTCGTACGACGAGTTCACGAGTTTCGATACGCCGAGTACCCCCCCGCCTGAGGAAGTTCCTGGGTCCAACTACGCTAAATGATTTTTGTCTGTCATGAGCTGAGATGTCTTACGGAGATTCTTTGTGAGCAACGGTAACACGTGATAGTCTGCTGCGGACACTTTCATGTTATCTGTATGGGTTCCTCCATAACAATGTTCTCTCCTTGTTCTGAAGCTTGGATAGGTGACTTTTCATATTCGGGAGATGTCTGTATTGCGGCTTCAGGGAATTGGGAGGCGCTAGAGGCACTTGGCAGTGTTTTGGCGAACCACTCTTTGTTTGCTTATTTGAGCCCGCACAGCATTGCATTGCCATTCGTGTCACATGTTGGCCAAGTACAATGCCTTTCTGTGCTCGTGCGCAGATGTGATAGCCGTGGCATTCTGCTGTGATGCTGTAGGCGGTCGGCGCCTCCGTGCGCCTGCAGCATGCTTTACCTCTTTGCCCGTGTCGAACTTCCATTTGTGAGTACGATTGCCCACGCATCGTGTCTATTAGCAGCCACTTTTCCACGCCATTGTCAGCGCTGCGCTGCCAGCTCGTGGATTTGGGGTGTTGTTTGAGACTTTTTTGACACATTGTAGATTGGTCAGCTGCAATGCCTGTGCGCTCACACGTAGGCGTGGTGTTTCACCCTCCGTGCTTGTACTTATGTGCGTCGCTTTTCCTGATAGCCACTTTTCCAGGCCATTGCGCTACCAGCTCGTGGATATAATCTTATGATAGCTTTTGCTACGTTGCAGCGACGACAGCTTTTTACACATTGCAGCAACGCCAATAGAAAAAGGACCACGCAAAGATCTTGTCACCAAGCCGAATGTTCTAAGTCATGCTTCCAAACGTCGCTTGACAATGTTGTCTTGAAAGGTGAAGAGTCAGAGTCTTCCGGCCTGGGCACCGCACCCGCCCGCAAACGGGCGCGGGTCGCGCTTGTGACATGGAGCTGTCCTACCACCTTTCCGGCGACTTTTGAAGAATGTCAAAAGTGCGGGCTACAACTTCCATCAGATTTGACTCGCGCCGAGTTTGGAGAAGCCGTTTTGGCTGTGTTAAAAGGTTCCGACCAGACTGGCAGCTTGAAATATCCTATAGTTGTGCGGGAATATCATCGCAGATATGTGCCTGAAGGAGGACGCTTTCACACCATTTTGGCGATGGGAGAACCTTTCTTGCACAAGTCTATGAGTGACTTCCTGGCACGGCGCTCCATTAAAGCTTGGTTCAGGGTGGCGTTTAAACCCTTTTTCCCTGAGCTGTCAAGTGTAAGTAGCAGCCAAATGGCGTGGTTTTTGCTTTGGTTATGATGCAGTGGTAGGAATGGCCTGGCTGCATACCGCCGCAGTTTGTGTGTCGCGGGGAAGAAGCTTGCTGGAGACATTGATGCCTCTCCATGGCTGTACCCCCCGGATGTGTTATCCTGGGAGAAAATTGAGTCGATTATGGCCAATATGCCAATGGATCAACAAGTCACAAACAAACTGGCTGAAAGGCCAGCCCAAGCGCAAAACTATGACTTTCGGGGAGCTGAGTGAGAGAAGGACGTTTAAACAACAGAGGAGGGCAGACGCAAAAAAAAGGAAAGTGAGCGGAGACGACACCCTGTGGAACAAGTGTGGAGAAGGAAGCGTAGCTCTGGCTTGATGGCGCCCATAAGCATCGCACCTTGATCTTATCTGGGCCTGGCGGCATCGGCAAAACTTCTTTGGCAACTTGCTTACTACTTGCCGTGCGCAAGCGTTATCATTTCATTACAAGGCTTGACGAATTGCGAAGCATAGAAATTGTCAAAAACGCTGGGCTTCTTTGGGACGAGGCAAATATGAGAAATTTGGACGTAGACCAGATGAAGGCGGTAATGGATCTGGAGCATACGAGATCTATTCATTGCCGGAATGCGGATGGTTGTTTGCCGAAGAATTGTGCACGAATATTTAGCTGTAATCACACTCGTTTGCAGATGTTTGGTGATATCCGAGCTGAACATATGGAAGCTATTGATCGACGGCATCTCTGGTCGCAGCTCACTGGAGACACTCGTAAGGCTCGATGGGGGCATGGTGCCTTTCAATGGAGGATATTATGTTTAAACATATGCTATGCTTAGTTTTAAAAGTTTTCCTTATAGATCCATTGAAAGGCCGTTTGCGCGTTATGTAGGATAAACTGACGAGACAGGCCATTGCAGGTCATGATGGTTTTGACCCGTGCCGCTAGAAAACGGTTCATAACCCATACTCTTTTGTTTTGTTGACACTTTCGCTCGGCTTGGTCATGGTGGACCTTTTGCAGAAGCTGAACTTGATGAAGGAGATGTGTTTGGTCATGGCGGCGGTTTGACTTAAGCACAGAGCGAACTTCTCACAAAGATCCAGCAGCTTGCTTTCGCACCAGCAGTTCGCTGCAGCAGTCTTGCCTACATGTATGTCTGTTGTCGGTACAGTTAGGATGAGACTGAGGCCGCCAAAAAGAATCCCGAATCCGTAGTTTGTCCATGACCGTGATTTTTCTGTGAGGGGTCTGTAACAGAGTTGCGACGGACATGCGTTACAGATCTCGTTGCAGACCTTTGTGACAAGACTGGCCCCCCGTTACACACCCTCGTTACAAACTGCTTGTCGAGTTGCACGCCCCGAATTCACGCGCAGACCCTCAACGATGGATGCATGTAGAGTGGACTTTGCAGAGCATGCTTTTGCTGCAGAGAGCTTGCCAGATAAAAAGTTGGAACAGGGACCGCAAACCTTCCTTACACGCCTCGGTGCGTAGCCATTAATTACACCTCGCGTCGCTACAGACGTTTGCCGCTGAATAGCTGCAATCAAGCTGGAGCTGACATCCGTTACATACCTCGCTACAGACCCAATCCCCTTTGCCGCCGCTTGGTTTGCGTTGAAAAGTTACAATCAAGCTGAGTTGTAGAGGCGTGCTTTGCGTACTGCGCTTTGCTTTGCCTCGTTACAGACCACGTCACGCAGTCGTTACATACCCTGTTGCAAACCCAGCCCGGGCTGGAGCTGCGGACGCATACTTTGCGTGCTGAGCTTGTACTTCTGCTCGTGGCACGTCCTCAAAACCATAGCCAAATGTAGCGCTTCCCCTTTTGATTGTGTAGGCGTCGGCCGGAATCTGGGGCTTTGGCTCATGGGCACAGAAAGGTTTTGGCGCCTTGTTCCTACGTTTTTTGGAGATAGGGGTTGGCCCACAATGGGATTGTTTTTAAGCTTGCCGACATTAGGGTTGTTGCCTTTGGTTTACGTTAGCGCGCGGGAGAAGCGGGCCTAACAAAAGGACCGTTTTGCGTGTGTGTGTGTGTGTGTGTTCCAAGCTTCATGCTAGCGAAGCCCGTGTATAATATTAGTTAAATAATAATGTATAAATAAATAATATGACATATAATATATAGATATATAAATACAATACATATATATACATAAAAAACAACAACAACATATTTAATCCAAATATGTTGATAAAACAAATTACAATCATATAAATAAATAAACCACACAAATACAAAACACAACAAACCAACAAACACACAACAAAGCAAAACATGTCCAATACATCGTTCAAATATTAACAATTTAATATTAAAACTCTATACAAATTATTCTTATATATAAAGTATATATCATTCAATCAATCTACAATACATCCTATTACACACAATATATATAACATTACATATATCCATTCAAATAAACATCAACCGATAAACTAAATATATCTCTATATTATATAAATAATATTATATACATCATTATCATCATCTTCATTCCTGTTATTTATCCTTAATAAATGCATATAACATATTATGCTGATGATAATACACTAACAATTACATAGACAATAACTCAGTAAAACACGTGCGTCATGTGATTCAAATTGAATTTGTCATTGATAATCAACGACTGCAGGCATGTATGTTGGTTGTGGTGGGAGTTGCCGAACAATACACCCAATCGTTTGGCCAGGAGGTTGAAGGGTCCTTGTTTGGCTTGTTGTTGCACCGCTCCTTCTCTTGACGCTGCCAACCTCTGTCAGCGAAGCCGCGTGGTTAACTACTTGCATGTATATAACTGCGATGGCTTTTGGTATGGGATTGATGCGTTTTGCAAAAGACTGATACAAACCTAGCCGGCTTTACTGGGGCTGTCTGCGATGTCTGCCTAATGTGCTCTTTGGAGCGCTGAAAAAGATTGGGTGCACCATGGGGGGTATCGATGGGATACTGATTTGAGTCTGAGCCATGGTCATGTCTACTTCGTTCGCAAGGACGCGACCTTTCTTGCGTCCATGGGTCTGGCTTTCAACTTACTGTAATTGATCTAACTTATAAGTATGACACACAAATCAAATTTGTGTTACATGCTTTATATCTATATCCGCATGCTTTTTCGGTGTGTTCTGGGTTTGGCCGCGGATTCACTGGCCCTCCCCTCCCGCTTCTTCAGGAGTTCGCGTAACGAGGGACAAGGCATGGATCCGCGGCCTAAGTGGCGGCACCGGATCCGGCATTAGACTCTGACGATGCTCTGAAAGTGATCTCCCCACACAAAATGTTATCTACCGAGACATGCTCTCTATCAAAACACTGCAACATGATACCAAGGTGCACCCACTATGTGCACAGAATCACTTTCGGGCGGCCCTTCGCTTTGGGCTGTGGTTGTGGCTCAGTTTATATCCTATGGTTCGAGGGCTTTTTGCCGGGGCAAACCCTGGTTTTTGCATCCGCGTTCATGAATCAATGGATCTTCAAATGCAAAGCTAATCCAATAAAACGGGTGTTCCGATGAAGGAAACGCTGCAATTTCTGGAGGTATTGAACCCCCAGGAGGTGAGTTAGTTGACAACGCCCGGAGTAGTTGTAGTGGCTTGTCTTTCAAGTGGAGGGCGCTTCGAACTCAGATCCTTCATAGGAGTTAAAACACCCGGCCGCGCTCGTCAAACAGCTTCCGAGGCCAAAGCATGACGTCCGAAAGGGCTTCGTAGACCTTTTGCTGCCTCTGGACCTCAATAGTCGAAACATGATATGCGTGGTTGTGGGAAAATCACCCTTTCTGTGATAACAAAGTAGGCCATGACTACTCTGTCGTTTAAAAAAGGGATTGGTTGGTATCACAGAAATAAAGTGGCAGCCTCAAACTCGGTCTTTCACTTCGGACCATGATGAACAACGAGCTCATCTGTTCCGGTGGTCTGATGGTCTGTCGCTCGCTGGGAGCCAAGCGGGTGTGAGGCCAGAAAACTCCGGCGCCACCATCTGAACCTCCCGCAGCTTGGCACACGTGAGCCACCCTTCCAAGCATGCAGTTGCCCGTAAAGGGACACGGGAATTCTAGAGCTCCGACACGTTTTTGGAGTCCCCCCCTTCAATACACCCATGGACACTTCGACCGGAGTTCAAGCTGAGGCAGGGGCGGTGAAGTGGGACTCGCTGGTGAGGCCTAGGGCAACTATAGGCATCGAAGGGTCAGTAGCCCAAGTCCCGGAACGAGTTAAAAACCTAGTAGCCACATAGATTTCCGCACAACGGCCACATCCACAAGTTTTCCGGAAGCAGAACTCAATAAAAACTATAAGCCATCTGGATGTGGCTTGCTGAGTTGGCATTTCCAACGTAAGGAAACCCGGGCCGCCGAGTTCGATACCCATGAAATCGCATGTCACCTCGAAATTCGAACCAAGCGGCCCATCTCCAACGCTCCTGCATCCCCCTCGTGCGCTGCCTAGGCGGTCTCGGCGCCGCGTGCTCCGCCAGGAGAAAAGCAAATGGGTGTGTCAAAAGAAGTTGCGCCTCCTTGGACGTTCAAGAAAACACCCAAAGGAAGCCAACAATATAGTCAGGGGTGTCTTTTTATTAAACAAAAAATCTCGGGTACCTCCAAAATGGTGGTGTTCCTTTTGGTTTTAAAGCACAAAAACTGGCGTACCAACTCCAAGAAACACGTACCAATTCAGGAGATTCAACTGGATTGAGGCAGCCGGCCGAATCGTCGACCACCCGCAGGTCGAGGAGAGTAAAGCTTTCGTCAAGAGCTTTGCACAAAGCCGTCGCCGTTGGCCTCGCGCGGCGTCTTGTGATGCTGGCCAACACAGGAAAGATAAGGATGGGACTATCATGAATCATGTTGAAGTTTATACAATGGTGGATCCCTTTTTTAGCTGGTGCTTCAATGACATGAAAAGGAAACCGACTATTTTAGGGGCTCCTATTTTGAGAAACGCGCTTTTGAAGAGGTTCCCTAGATATGAGACATACCCGCTTCGCCCCTTCAGTCTTCTTAAAACCGCAAAGGCACGCCAACTGACTGGAGTTTCGATTACCACACAGCGGCAAGCTTTTCCACAACTGTCCACATTCAACATCATGCTCTGAGGCGTGAGGGGACTATTATCATTGCTCTGGTATACTTGGGCCTCATCTGGGGTACGCAAAGAAGCACCTTTTCTGATTATGTTCCAACTTTACCAAGAATTTGGCGGAGACCGCGGATAACTGTGTGTCTGGTCGGGATGGGGCAGGTTTTTCTCCTCTCGGCAAAAATCGCCGCCCGGCCTTCTGGAGTCATCGATCAGCTTGATGTTTCCTGTGGCATACTCGCCAGGTGCGGAGGACTCTGCAGCTTCCTGGCCTTGATCTCTCGCCAACAGAAAGCTCCCAAAAAGACTCCACTGGGTGGGGGGAAACGAAAGGAAAGCACGGTAAACCACTGTTGAAACCCCGAGAACTAGACGAGAAAACATGTTCACTCACCCAAAAAATAGAGCGCACCCGTTTCGCGCCAACTGTTCTTGTTGCTTGGCTTTAAACGGGAAACTCAAATCTCAATACGAAGCTGTGAAATCCACTGGGCTGCATCCGTGCGATGCAGAAATCTAAGGCTTCAGCTTGCGCCGCCGCCATCGCTGGCGATGACCAGCATCTCAGCACTCCGACCGGCCGACCCGTGCGGGACCCCAGTCTGACCCGTGCACCCTGTTGTTGCCTAACTCGCCCTGTTCAAAATGGTGTTGGCCCATCCGATTTTCCGTCCTTGGTGAACCACAAAAGGGACGTTTTATGGCAATACCAAGAAGGGTCTTTTTCATCTAGGTTTTACCACGGATGGATGCTTACCGCGTGTTCCTTAAAATTGTGGACTGCCTGGAAGCACTGGGAATGACAAGACTGCAGAGTTCCTACGACATTGGATGTCTAATCTCAAAATATCACCACTAGAAGCATTTCCGCAAGTTGATGTCTACAGCAAGCAGGGAGTGCTGCACACGTTGGCGTTGGCAGTCGAATTGGGACGCAAATGATTGGATTGGCGTTGCCAGTGGCAAACGCTTTCCGAGAAAGGCTTCGGAGCCTGTTCCAGCTCTCCCTTCTCGTACATCTCCATGACAATATCGGCACCTCAGTCAGAGGCAACATGGTGAACGACATCAGCTGTGATTGGAAGTGTCTCGTGTGCAGCCAAGCGGCGCGCACAATTGTTTTCAGGGTATTCAAAGTGGAGATTCCGAGAAGCACTGGCAGAACACAACACCCCAGCAGTACGAAAAGGGTGAACGAACAATCAACAACAAGCTTACTACAAGCTTTGTATAAATTGTACAACTTCTGTTCCCTTGGCGGAACAATCAACTTCCACCTGAATTGGTGGTAGTGGAAACCAGCAGGAAACCCACCATTTTCTTGGGGTCCAAAGCCCAATTTTGACACACACACACACACACCCATCTCATTCCTCTAATCCCAACAAAACTTCGTGGCTGTTCCGAAATGTCATCAATCCGGACACGTTCAAAGCCGAAAGCTTGTCGGAACCTAATATGGCGTCCTGACCAAAACCCATCGGATCTCAACCTGCCGGGATGCCTCCGACCAGCTGCCCGGAGACGTAGAGCTGAGGGATCCTCAGCGTGCCAGTTACGCCTGGGAAATCACCAGAGTCCGAATCTATTCCACATAAGACCTGATCCAAAACCGATGTTGATAACCATTGACCTGTGGATGCGCAAAATCCGCGCAAAAGATCGGCACAATTCCGGTGCCGATCGGCGCGGATTTCGTCCAGTATTTCGGGATTCCCATGGAACAAGGGCCTCAAAAGCTAACTTTATCCATTGACCTGATGGCTGGGAATGTCGCCATCCATGCCATACACCTGATCTAAGAACCCCTCGCACATTTGTTCGATTCGTACCCCGGTTTGCTCAAACCCGAGGCGGGCACGTGGGCCACTGCCCATACTCCTTCACCGCCTGGCCATGGGGAATGGCCCAACCCGCAAGCCCCAGTAGGGGTAATTACCAAGGGAACTCCCAAAAATCAAGCCTGAGCAAAACATAGCTGTCCACTGCGCATGGTAATTCGTTACCAGGTTCCGCACTGAAAACCCACGCTGCCATCTTGCCAGGACCATAGCCACAAAATGCGCTGAACTCGTGCGGTTTGCTCCGCCCTTCCCGGAAATCCAAAAAAAAGAAACCCGCGCCTCGCGCACGCCGGGGTTGCTCGCCTCGTCAAGCACGTTCACCGTCTCGAAGGGCATACCTCGAATTCCACCGTCGAGACACGAGTCAGTTTCAAAGACGGGTTGCCGCCGAGCAAGTCGGACCAACCTGTACATCGGGAAAGGGAAAGGGAAGGCTAGATCAACTTTCTCCGGGACCAGTGGTCACCTGGAAAAAGGGGTCGTTTTTGGGTAGTTGATTTGAAAGGGCAAGCCCTCCAAAACATACGAAAAAGCGGAGAGCTGGGTGTCCAGGGTCGGCTGTTTCCAATGTTTGGTCATCGTCTTGAGATCGAAGCACCCCTGGGCAAGGGACTACAGCACAGAAACGCATGTGGACAAATGTGCAGACTGCACAGGTTTTTTGGCCACATCAAGACTCTTGACAACTCCGGTGAAAACAGGGCTCCCTATACTATCCCAAAATGTTCACAATAGAAACATCACCCCACAAAGAAGACTCACCAAAACAAAAACATATTAAAGGTGATCAGCTTTTGGGGTCATGACTAATTACAAATGGAAAAGGGGACACTAAAAACGCAGATCTGGTCGATTCGCTTTGGTTTGCCCAGACCCCGTGCTCAACACCCAGAAACGAGAACCCCCCCCAAAACAAAAGAAGCAAACCAACACCCAGGCAGCCGAATTTACGCCCGTACCCTTCATTTAGGGCAAGCTTCTCCCTTCCAGGGATTCAGGGAAGCCCTGACAACAAAGGTGCTTTTGCAGAATGAGGAGATCAAGTCGGAGGCCGGCCTATCTCTCTGAGGAGACCAGAGGTCCTAGCGCTGAAGCCGCACCTCAGCCGGACATGAAGAAAATCCTCATGCATGAGTTGGAGCCTCCCCAGCCGTTGCCAGGTTGGAAAACGGCTGGCACACAACCACTGGACATAAATGATCGATTGTATGTATATTTTATGTTGCATATGGTACTTATTTATTGTACTTATTACTTATTTTTGGGGTCTCCCCCTGAGAGAATCTCAAGCAAATTCCGCTGGAATCTCATCAAAAAGGGCCCCAACCAAGTTGCAAACATCCATCTGCCGTTATATGCTTCTTTTAGGACCCCCAAAATGGTGCTCATTTTGGTTTCCCTTCAAAACCACACAAAAAAAGGTACCAAGTCCAAAAAAACGAGCCACCCACAAAACCTTTACAGCCATTCCGTGGGGTTATTTGGTTCCCCAGACTGCACCTTAGGCCCTTTGGGGTCACCGGATCGATTGGGCGCCCGGCTGCGGCATTGCCGGAGTGCCCTTCATGAACCTCGGCTTACTGGGTGTCTCCAACGACTTGACTTTTGGTTGGGGGCGGGGGGCGGGGGGGGGATGTGCCATGGACACCTAGAGTTTAGTTTGCAGCCAAGAACCCCAAAAACCAAGGCACTAGATGGGGAAAATAAGTGTTACTCTGTAAGGGAAACCCAGGTAAAACCAACTCTTTTGGGGCTTAATTTTGAGACCCCCCCCTCCAAATAGACTGTCCTATCCCAGATCGGCGCGAAACCCACGCCGTGCGGGGGCCTCTCGCCACTATCTTTTTGGTCTATAAGGGAATTGGTTGCGGGAGAGGGATACACTGGGCTTGGAACCCCCCCAAAACGGATTTCGGTTCTCCTGTACCACCGAAAAGGGGTCCCCTCACAAAAGACACGCCCATATAGCTACCCAATAGAAATCGCCCTGGTGGGTCGTGTACTCCGAAATGGGGACTAGGTGTTACTCTGTTTGTGTTCCTTTAAACCGACACCCCCCCCGAGTACATAAAAATAACGGCAAACATAGCACTGCCGCGCAGCAAAAGAACTGGATTGCTCTCCACGGCCGTCCTGCCAGGCCGGATCGACACTCCGAATTCCGGCGCACCCCCCTTCATTTTGGGTGGCTTCGGCTTTCCCACTGGTTTCCCTATACCAAGGGTACCGAGACTCAAACATTTGCGACACATACATGTGCCAAGGGTCAAGGGCCCCAAAAGTAAAGTTGCCTCGGTCCTTCTGGTTTCCCCTTTAGCCAACGTGAAAAGTGATGGCAAGAGGACGGAGGGACACCCGACGGCAATGGCACTGTGCAGTTTTTGAGCGGGGGTCAAGAGCCCTTACAGGTCCCCAAGGTACCTGGCTCGTCCCAATACGAGAGTCCCCAAGATAAGCCCTTCGCCCAGAGCGCCTCACAGCCTCCATCGCCTCTGCTTGCGATGCGATGCCTGGCCGAGGCGCAGCAAGGCGCAGGGACCTCTTGGGCCCAGTCGGCCCAGGCGTCGCGCCAAAGGTACGGGTCCATTGCCTCTAGGTCTTCCATGGCTTCCTCTGATTACTATAGTAGCTGGAAAAGCCGCAAGCCACTCCACTTACCCAAAAACCTTGCGCGAAGTGTCACCCGCCCGTCTTTGGGGAGTGTGTGTCTTTTTTTGGCGTTGGTAACTTTGCCCCTGATTGTGGCTTTAAAGGAACGTTAAAAGGAGTACCCCCTTCAAATGGGGGGGAAGTTAAAAAATGACACACCCATTTCAAACAACTCCTCCATTTTGGGGCCTCCTAAAACAAATTGGACGAGCCATGCGTCTTCGGCTTTGGAACTTTGAACTCGCAAACGCAACGAGCTCAACACGCCGGGCGCGCCGCCGACGCCCCCGAGGTTCAGCGAGGGCTTGGCCTGCGCCCCGCGGCTGCGCCACCGGGGGTCGCAGCCTGGGGCATTCTCCGGCAGGTTCCTCGGGCACCGAAGGCGCCGGGGGCCGTGGGGGGGGGGAGGTCCATGGCAGGACTTTTGGTCTTTTGGTTTGCCGAAACAAGAACAAGAACAAAGGAACCACTCGGGCCGCGGAAGTTGGGAAGCATTTGGGGGGAAGCATGTAAATCCACCAAGGCGCCAGAGAGACCATCCTGTTCTACAAACCCCTGCAAATATCACCCCACATAAAGGAAACTCTCCTCTAACTGGGCCAAAAGGTGATGTTCAAAAGCATCAACATCTACCCCCTCCCATTCTCATTTTAAGACCTTCCACGAAGCTCCCGAAATATTTGCGTTGAAAGCAATTTTCATTTAGGGCCCTTTGAACGCTCTTTGAAACCAACTTGCGGGGTTCCCTTTGCTCTGATTCACGCTTGTGAACCAAATTGGGGTTGAGCTCTCGTTGAATTCTGATTCAGACCAATTGGGGTCTTTTGATACCTCGAGGATGTCAAGAGACGGCAAGGTGACGTCCCGTGGGACGCTGTCCACCGAACCCTCCAGCTGTAAATACCAACCACGTAGAAAGGTGTATACGGTCAAACCGTTATAGCCGAACCCGTGCAACTGTTGTAAGGGAGAAGGAATAATAGTTACAACAGTGGTCCTGACAAATGCAGCGCAAGCGATGTGTTTTCCGCTCTCAATTGCCGATCACGTATGAACGCAGCTTCACATAAGATCTTGAACCTCACTTGTGACTTGAGCCAAATGGCAATCAATGGAACCTTGTAAGCAACACAAACACGGACCTCAGAACTGCTTCCCAATTTAGGCACGGGGCCAGGAGGGTTTTAACATCCCCCATTTGGGTCGCATTGTTCATCATGCGGTCCAAACACCACAAAACGTTCCAATGGCCACGGCTTCAGCTACGAAATTGTGTCGAGCACTCTTTCACTCGCTATCGCTACACCGTTCATTCATTGTGAAACCTGCCGGGTTCGATTGAAACTGGAACGTGCATCCGCAAATCGTAGCACATTCCCATATGCAGATGCAAGGTATGCACTACCTCACGTCATCACGCAACCATTGAACATCCCAGCTGCCGCATTTGCGCATCGCGCAGCCGTCATCCACAGAAATGGGTTGGCCATAGAAGTTCACAGCAGCGCATGATCGTACGTAATCTGCATATCACCGGCAAAGAAATATCGGTGAGCAATCAATGCAAAACATAGCCGTTCCAGGTACCATGAATAATATATATAATGAAAAAGAAATCATCCATGAGGTAATAGTTCCATCCATGAATATCCGGAATGTCATAGCCGTCGGAATATGTAAATGTATACACATCCATTCATCTTGGACGCATGAAATCATATCATGATGTAGAGTCGTTCCATCGCAATGACACTGATGAGACGCAAGCAATAGATGGGGACTAGCCCACATCATGCCGCAATCAACATCGGAGTGAATATATTTATTGCTGTTGGTGAGCGCACCGCGCCGCATAAGCATTAATAATCCACATCTGTATTACGCATACCTGTCTCCAATGGACAGTCTGTGGGTACGTCGACGGAACTCTTCGTCCAAATTCTTTTGGGCTTCTCGCGCCCGGACACACTTCTTATGATGATCTTCTGGTATCCAATGCCCCATTCGTAGGCACCAATCCAGCAGAGGTGTGTCGCATTTGTTCGGGTCAGTGGCTGCAATACTGGCGCTCGCATTGACCGAATAACCATGTCTGCCAAGGTTCAAGCCTTCCCTTACGAACGATATATATTTACAGTTGAAAGCCAGGGAGAAGCATCTGTAAACGATATCGCCCACCGGGCGCACGCGATCCTTGACCAGGAGCTTCATTTCGTCTTTGGTGATGTCGAGGATTCTCGTTGCAATCCACAGCTTGTAAAATATGTATAGCCCCTCGCATTTGTATACCATTAGACGAATGTATTCGTTGCGCTCCTCAGCCGACCGGAAGGCCCTTTCTCGAACGTCTGAGATTGAGAAATCTTCAGTACCGTCGATGGCAAAAGGATCCCTTCCTGATCAATCTCCGTAATGTTGGGGTACTTCTTGAAGTCGTTGTGGTATGGGCAGCCTTGCTTCCCTTCGAGCGCGGCATCGATCGTTCTCTTTTCACCCCCTTCGAACATCCCCCACATCTTTGACATCTGCAGCGCGATGAATCCCGCCATGTATTGAGCTTCGCGCGGCTCATCAAGGCAAATCGCCATCTGCTGGGATATTAATGATATCCCGCGATGCCAAGTCATTGTCGCGGTATTGCCAACCGCCATCTTCTTCCTCAGACATGTATCCGGACGTGTATCCTTGCGTGTCCATGTCGTCGTCTTCAGGAACGTCCTCCGCCTCATCATCCTCTTCCTGTGCTGCCGCACCATGGTTGGCTTCGTCTTGTGCGCGCCTGGCATCACCCGAAACATTGGGCCTTTGGTTGTCCCCATCGTCTTCGGAACTGATGTGGATGCAAAACCTCCCTGTAGAGATCAATTGCGCCCCACATTCCAGACACACACAGAAGCATGTGGGAATTGCGGTCGCACATGACGGACATATCCGGCATCGTAGCCCTTCCCATGTCTCGTCATTCAGGATGACGACTTTGCTGATCTCGTCCCTGATCTCGTTGGTCTGCGCATCAAACTCTTCCAGCTTGTTTTCCCGAAACAGTTTGCATGCACGATCAACCATGTCTTTGATGTAGTGCAGATTGTCGGCACCTGCCTCGGTCTCAGGCATCCTCTCGTTGATCTTCGCGACGTTCTGTAGGAACATCGCAGCCGATTCCTGGGAGGAATCGACGAAACCCGGACAGATCTCGTTTTCCACACATTTTGAGTACGCTCGCTTGACGCCCTCGTGCTCCAGGCATTTCCCTCCGTTGCTTTTGCCAATCCAAATGGACTTGATCTCATAGAATGGATCACGTCAAAGACCATGAACGTCCCATTTGCCGCGACTCCAGCTCCATACCGTGCGAGGGTTGCACTGGGAATGTAGATGATCGCAATCGGATCCCCCGACCTTACGTTTCGTAGCGTCACCTTCGTTGCTACGTTCATCTTATCCCATGGAGCGAATGCTCCGAAGTGCAATGCTAGCCTGTTTCCGCCATCGATCCCGCCGGGGACTAGCCCACAGCGTACGATGCTCGGCAGGTTCTCCACATACGTCACATGGAATGCTCCTCCGAGAGAATCACCCATTCTTGCAGAATACCTATTTGCCAGTGCGGATGAGCTCATGAATCCAAAATCACTGTGACCAGTTGTGACTCGGATGCACCAAGGCCTGTACCATCCATCGCATCTGTTGAACATCCTGTCGATGTCATCCCGATCCAGGCCAGCATAGTTCATCTCCTCCCTGGCCGCCTTCATGTCATTCGGGTTCATGACGCTTGGAAACCTTGCTGCCAGGACCTGAAACCTCGATTTCTTGTGTCCGGACTCCTGCCACTTGATCACTTCCATGATGCCCATGTATCGTTTTGCTCTCGAAGTTGAAGGTGGGAATATGTCGTTATTTCGGTCGTCAATGACTGCGTCGATGTCGACCCATCCACCTTCATCGCATCTGAAAACACTTCCTCGGCAATTGCCGATTTTGTGTCGAAGGACTCTGCATAGGTTGTGAGATAGCTGGTTTGCTTGATCTTTCGTAGCAAATACCGAGCGATCGTCGCCAATCTTGCATAGTGGAGCACCGTCAAAGGGAGCAACGCAGAAATTGACGCTCTTGCCAAGCTGCATCACATCCACCTGTTCAAGGCCGGCACCCTTGGGAAAGTACTTGGGGTCAACAATAGATGCATACGCCCATGGCATATGCACATCGCTCACGTCACCGAACTTCGGGATGTAACATGGGATGGTGTCACACCCTCGTTCCAGCGTCGTCTTGAACGTTCTGTTGTCCCCGCACGGATTGTAGGTGAGGTCCACGCCACCGCATTGTAGCTCTCCTCCCTCAGCCGTGTCAGCCATCTCCACCAGATTGATGGTATAGCTATACATTTCTATTGTCTCTTTCCCTTCTTGTCCTCCTTTCTTGCGTTCCTTGGACGTCGATGAGAACGGTTCTTCCGTATCCCCCATTTCTTCATCCGAGGAAACATGATCGCTGCTGAGAAGCTCACGGATCTTCTTCATCGCCTTCTCATAGTTCTTGCAGTCGCCCGTGGGCCAGGCAGTCGCCGTCGTGGGCCAGGTTCGCGCATCTCATGCAAATTCCCATCTCTCCCATGCACTTTTCCATTGAGACCAGGAACCCGAGTGCAGCTCTCCGCCCATCAATCACTCGCTGCTTCTTCTCTTCTTTCTCAACGTTGGGCTGAGAGCTTCGGCTCGGGTCTGGCACTTGACCAAGACCGTCGCCTTCACTCTCTGTTGCCTTCCTCTTGGATCCTTGGGTGGCATGCTCGGCCGTCAGGGATCGCGGATGTCTGGGCTTGACCATGTTCATGATGTCCAACACTTCTTTCGTGGGCGCCCCGAGCTGGGCGGATGGTTTGTTCCGCTTTCGGTTCTGGCCCGTCGTGTGGCTCACGTTCCCGGCGAGGTGTCGTACGATTGAATGCTCAAACTCCCTCTTGATCTTCCATGCATCTTTCCACAATGGAAGTTCGTGCTGAAAGTACGACATCACCTCAAAGAATCCCAATATCATCTCGACGACGTCCCCCAAGGACTCCTCATTCGTAGTCTGTCCCAGGAGCTCATACATCGTCCCCTGATCAAGCACGCTCTTGATCCAGGATGAATAGGCCACGTTGCCAAGATCTCTGTCTATCACAAAGATGGAGGTCCTCTCCTCAACTCCCTCGGAATTCTTGCACGTGATCACATCCCGGGATGCACACAATTGCTTCCCGTGTCCGTTATTGTAGAACTGTGCTGCCTGATCCATTGTCATGCTCACGAAACCCACGTGGGATAGCTCTTTCTTCAGCTTGGAATATGCAAGTCCCCGTATAATCGTGGTCATGGCCTGA